TACTATGTTGTATCTTTGTTCTCATTAGTTTCAAAGAACTTCTTGACTTTGGCTTTAATTTCATTATTTACCCAAAAGTCATTCAGGAGCAGGTTATTCAATTTCCATGTAATTTTATGGTTTTGAGTGAATTTTTTTCCTCCAAATTCCTGGCTTAATAAGAATTTCTTTATTTTGAGGAAAAAGCGTCCCAAACATCAGGCTGTTCACAAAAATAACCCACAGTATCAACTTTAAAAAACAAATAATAAGACTATAGCACTAATTATTATTCTGAAGGATACATTTGACATGACAACTCTCATTCATAAAAATACATGGTTACATTCGTGTTGAACTGCCCCACACAGCACACTTATATGGGGATGTAACACACATATTTCTAACTCAAAGCTGCTTTCAGGAGCTACTCAACTAATTCAGATTGTCTTTGCAATTAGGGAAATATCTACTGAACTTACATATGAATAAAAAGAACTATACTCCCTGCATAAAAAAAGATTATTTTGGGGATAGTTGACAAAACCCATACATCCTTTTTATTGTTAAGTTATAAAGAGGTTTCAAAATTAAAAGCAAAAATTACACAGTAACACTTAACAAAACTACTGGGAGCATCAAAGGAAGTGAAAAATGGACTAGGCACAGGCAGTATGAATTAACAAACATAACAAGGACAAGGATTGGGAGAACACTGAGCATGTCCTGAAGTTACTAGGGGAGAGAATCTGGTGAAAATTTTGGTCTTAGACAAGCACCTAGATAAATAAACAATGGCATAAGACTTCTAAACCCCACCATGTGCTTAAGAGTCAACCTCACCATTGGCGCTGTCTGTCATCTTCTCCTTCCTCAGCCTCTTTTTCATCATCCTTGATCAACTCCAGCTGTTCATCCCCACCCGATCTTCAACGCCATCATCATCTAATAGGTTCCCCTTTCAGGAGCATCATCTGCACCCCCCTCAGACTCCATCTTCACATTAGTCTCATCTCTCTTCACGGAACTGCTGCTGTACTCCTCTTCTGAATTATTCTTCAACTCTACTGCTTGTTTGCTCTCTTCCTTTTCAGTTTTTTCCAGGTTTTCCAGGAGAGAATCCACCTTTGGTTTTATTTGGGTCAATTCCTTCTTAACGGCCTGAAGACCATCTCATTTCAACTTACCAGACTTGGAAGATCCCCACTATTCACTCTTAGAATTGAAGCCACTTTTGCCTCTTCTTGAGGTGTTTCCTGATACACAGTGGCATTTTGAGGGCACTACAGCCTGAGCAATAGGAGATGGAAGAGGAACATGTGCTGGGTAACTGTACATCCTGTCATAATAATCCCATGAAAGTCATAGTCCAAATCAAAAGAGGAGCCATATACAACATTGAGCAAGATCCAGTCCCTACCCACACAGAACTTATAGTCAGTCCAGTAACAAAGATAAACAACAAACAAATACTTAATTTCTCTCCCCTTCTTTTGGTGACCTTCTATTTACCTTCTATTTCCAACTGAAATGCAACTTCTCTATGAAGCCTTTTGGGTAGAGCTAATTGTCTTTTCTGAACATGGCCTGCCCCTCTGTTATCAACTGAGAACAGGTTTTTTATTTTAATATTTTAGTTAACGGTGTATTCTGTCACCCCCACTCACCTCCATTCCCCAACCAGGGGGTAAGGGCATGGCAGCTTTGCTTATCTGTATTGCTATCTACTTCAGGACCTAGCACAATGCCTGGTACGTGATAGGCATTAAATACTTGAATGAATAGAACTGAAGGCAAGAAAATAGAAAGTTCTTTGACTGATTTCTGAATACTGCATACCTAGTTGTGTTTTTAAATTTAAAATGGCATTCCCCATTGATGATGTTTAAGTCTATGATTGGAAAAAGTCTATTTTCATTGTTTGGGCTACTGGCCAAAATAAATGGAAATAGACATGTAAGCACTTGCCAGCTGTTGCTCATTATAAAACCTTAAAGTCTATTCAGAAACTGATTGAGAAAACTCACCTTTTGTTTCAATGTATCTAAGTCTCTACAACCTAAACCCATTAGAATCCATACCTCTAAATTCATTTAGTTGTGTATGACTTAGGATTACAAAAATTGAATCTCTAAAGAATCTCAATTTCACTATTTGACTAACTCTAATTCTTAAACCTTTATAAAATTATTTTTGAATTACTGTTGACAAGCCAGGTATCTAAGTTTCAAGAAAAAGAAATCAAAATTAGTTCCATATTTATGTGGCCATGGAAAAGGGAAAAGGCCATGTCCCCTGGAAGGAGGCAGCAGTTTCCCTTCTGCTCTCTTCTTAGGGCTAGATTCCCCTTTGTGAATGATACCTTTATCGAGACCATCCTGGTCAACATGGTGAAACCCCGTCTCTACTAAAAATACAAAAAATCAGCTGGGCATGGTGGCACATGCCTGTAATCCCAGCTACTCANAGTGAGCTGAGATAGCTCCATTGCATTCCAGCCTGGGTAACAAGAGCGAAACTCCGTCTCAAAAAAAAAAAAAAAAAAAAAAAAAAAAAAAAAAACACACACATACAAACATAAACACAAATTAGAAGGAGGCTTGGAGAAATGTGTGAAAACTGAACTTACGAGGAAGGGGAAATTATGAGTAAGCCAAAGAATGTTATCTGTAGAGGGACAAAAAAAAAAAAAAAAAAGAAAAGCAGAGACCACTGCGGGGAGGCAGTCACACAATACTTGAAACCAGAGCCCTGATGAAAAATGGTCCTGAGATCTGTGAAGGCTAGAGTGGGGATGGTGGCTTAATGTTGTAATCTCAGATCTTCAAGTAGTTTTTGCAGCAGGTGGAAATTTTCATTCATGTTGAGGCAGATTAATCCTTAGTTTGGGGATAATTATCTAAATGGACAAGGTTAGATATGCTTATATTAAGCCAGACCCTTTTCAGGAATGGGATTTTGACAGCTATATCTCTAGAGAACTAAGCTTTTCTGCCTAATAATACAAATATTGTCTTTGTTATGGGCAAAGCTACATATCAGCAGTTTACTATGCCTTTGGAGAAATACTTCCTTTAAAGTGTGGGTGTAGACTACCCTAGCCTGTATGGTATTGTTTATTAAAATAGAAATGCTCATGCTTCTCGTTTAAACAGCTTCTCACCGGAGACTGGGAGAGAAGACTTTAGGACTGCAGAGAAACTGTGGTTCTGATTTTGAGTTCATGCTGGATAAAATGTTGTAAAAAAAATGGGACTAGACTAGGTTTAATGCTAAAAGACTAGCCTGCTATTCTCTCATACACATTAATATTCACATGTCCCACTGGATATTTTACTTTTATATGATGATGTCACAGAGGCCATAGGAAGATGCCTAACCCCACGAAGGGGAAGGGCTGGAGTTTACCCACAGGAAGTAAACAGGAAAAGAGGACAGGGGAGGCAGGCCTGAGACCCAAGAGACAGAGGGAGAAATGTGGCCTTCTCTTGGGTTCCTGGACATTGGGGCCTGGACTTTCAGCAGAGCAGATTGCTGGAGGTTGTCCCTAAAGGGAAAAGATAAACAAACCTTGCCAGAAGGCCCAATCTTGAGAACAGGGAGGCACTCACAAGACAGAGGTCCCCAACACCTGGGCTACAGATCAGTAGCAATTCGTGGCCTGTTAGGAACTGGGCCATACAGCAGGAGGTAAGTGGCAGGCAAGTAAGCATTACCTCCTGAGCTCCACCACCTGTCAGATCAGCAGCAGCATAGGAGCATGGAGCCCACTGTGAACTGTGCGTGAGAGGGATCTAGGTTGTGTGACCCTTATGAGAATCTAACTAATGCCTGATAATCTGAGGTGGAACAGTTTCATCCCAAAACCATCTCCCACTACCATTCATGGAAAAACTGTCTTCTTCAAAACTGGTCCCTGATACTAAAACGGTTGGGGACTGCCATTCTAAGAGCCCAAAGCAGCCTATGCTCTGGCTTGTGGACTCTTAGAACATTCAGAATTAGTAGGCATTTTTGTTTGTCAGTTTAATAATTCCTTTCTCATATCCCTAAGCATTTTGCAGTTTGGTGTTCGTCATGCTGTGGGAAATTAAAGGGTCTATGTCTACCCCCATGTCATCCAGTAAAGGGAAGCAAAGCCTTTCTCTCCCTGAGGCCAGCATGGCTGCAGTGGCATCAGTCCTGGGGTTGTGGGAGATGAGGGGTGACAGTGGTGGAGCTACGATGAGCAATCTGCCACCATCGGGGTGGTTAGGACAGTATGGGTTTGTGGAACATAGAAGGTGAAAAGACCTACTTGTGGAGAGAAGCCTCATAAAAGACAGGACTTTCTGTCATTAGATGAGATCAAAGTTTGAGCCACAGCAATTTGGACATTACAAGGTAAATCTGACCTCATCTTTAATCACAGTCTGGTGCATCCAGGTAGACTGGCTATGTGTATATGGAGCACACCATAAACACAATCTTTGTATGTTAGTAAGCTTTTTTTTTTTTCTGAGATGGAGTTTTGCTCCTGTTACCCAGGCTGGAGTGCAATGGCGCAATCTCGGCTCACCGCAACCTCTGCCTCCTGGGTTCAGGCAATTCTCCTGCCTCAACCTCCTGAGTAGCTGGGATTACAGGCACGCACCACCATGCCCAGCTAATGTTTTGTATTTTTAGTAGTGACAGGGTTTCACCACTTAGTAACCTATTTAACATGAGTTTGCAGAATAAAAAAAAAAAAAATGGCTTCCCAGCTGAATCTGTGGAAGTCTTATTATTTTATATTCACATTCCATTTATCCATTTGTTAGTGCTATAATCATGTAATGAACCCCATCATGTGCCAAGCAGTATGATAGAAACCAAAGTATATCCACTGACGTGTAGCTGGTGTCAACTCCTCAATGATCAAGGTAGAATTATGACAGCATATTCAATTTTCCTATTTAGATGAAAAATGACTTGAGTCTCCTCATGTCAGGTTTCTGGGGAAACTGTTGTCTCTTTCTTGGGACCCCTTTCCCTTCTTCTAGATCTTCTGAGAACCCTGGAGTGTGTACACATTCCAAATGAGAGGTCCATTGACTTTTGCTTCAAGTTAAGGTAAGTTCTCATATCCAAGCACCCACTACTATTTCTGCATGCCTCATGGTGTGCTGTTGAAAGTTGGCCTTCCACTGTCAGCCAGGCCCTGTAGCAGCTCACTGTCAGACACTGCTGCTGACCCAGTTTATTGCACCATCTAGAGTGGTATTTTGATGGAAGGTGTCTTCATGAGAGACTCCATTCTTTTGATGCCATGATCAACAGAGAATGTCCCTTGCTGGATCTCCCAGCCTACAGCATTTAGTGCTCAGTCCTTCGCATCACATAAAACCATTCCCCTTCAATCTCCACCATCAATCCACCTTCACTCAGACTGGCTGAAGTGTTAGCATCTCACAGACTGAAAAACCAGAGGCCAGTCCACTTTCCATTTCAACTGTGAAAATACAGAACTGCTATATTCATACATCTCACAGACAAAAGGCCCTTTCATGCCCTCAGCTAAAGTGACTATCTAGGTGGTCTCCAGGGCCACCTCTCCTGGCAGCAGTTTTCTGTTGACCCTTAGACACAAAGGGTCCTCCCTTGGCAATAGGATTTAGAAAGTTTGCCATGAATCTCAAACTCCAAATTCCAGGATTCCCATCTATCACCTCCTGAGAGGCAATTAGCTTTTGTGTCTCAGTAATTCAAGCCCAAAGCTTCCCAAAGCAGAGGAGACAAAACTTATGTTTAATCCCTTGCAAGCATCCTTGTGCCAAAGGTTAAAAGACAGTCCATGCCTCTGTGATTTCTCCTGTCTAATAGGGAAGATATATATGGAAATTAAAATAGAAGTATAATGTAAGATACATGAGTAAATAAAGGCAGAGGCAGAAGTGCCTAACTATTTTGGAGTTCTGGAGGATTAGACCAGAGGAGTCCAAAGAGTTTGAATTATGCCTTGAAGAAATAGTAGGAGTTTTCCTGGTGAATAAAGCCTTAAAACACATTCTAAGTATGCATTCATATATCATTAATTCAATGACTATCTACTAACTATCTACACAGTGAGTGACACTATTCTAGCTGCTGTGGGTAGAGCAAGAAGCAAGGCAAGCAACTCTCCTGCTCTCTTGGAGGTGAAAGGCAAAGAGCCATACAAGCAGCTTGTTGTCTGTGTCCCTCAAGTGGCTGAGTCACACAGGTCCTCCCAGCAGGCAGCCTTACATGGTTAACTATGCCCAAGAAAACAAGCATCACCCTAGGCATCTTCCACCAACATAAGGTGGGCCAGTATTTATTAAGCATTTACTGTGTCCCAGGTTCTGTCTGTTCTATATCTATTATCTCATTTAATTCTCACAACAATCCTATGAAGATGATAATTTATGACCCCGATTTAACAGATGAGAAAAACAGGGACACTCATGATCAAGAGGACTGTCTAGAGTCAAAGACGTCACAGGTAAAGGAGCTGGATATGAACCTAAGCATTTTGATTCCAGAGCCTGGACCCTCAGCCATTCTGCTTAGTCCTGCCAACAAGCATCACCCAACTGCCTCTTTTAATTACACTGCTTCCATTTCTTTACTTCCTGGCATTGTCTGCCCCTCTGCTTCATCCTCATGTTTAGTTACCTCTCTCCTTTCCCTGACCTGTACCCCCTCACCATCGTAATAGAAGGCAATTAGCTGGGAAGGCAGGCAGGAGCTACCCTCTGACTTCTCTTCAGAAATCAGGGGGTTTTACTTCCAATTGAAGTTTTCTGCCTAAATGCCATACTTAATAAGGGAATACAACAGTCTCCCACACACCAATGAGAAAGAAAGGCAGTTTCAGACATCTCTGAACATGTACTTGGCAATATCTGCTATCTATCATTTCCACTGGACTAGGAGCTCCCTGGAGCCTGCATTTCAATAATCATCTCTGCATTCCAGGTAAAGACAAAATCCAAGTTCTATCCCAGTACCAATCACAGAAGGCACACATGGTGTATAACACTTTTTTTGTAAAATGGGAAAGTATAATTGAATTTAAAAATTATTTTTATTTAGATGTTTTATATCTTTACCATAAAGTGATTGATGATTAGAAGCTGATGAGAATTGATAACACAAGAAGACAATGCATTTAGAAGGGGTTTTGAAAACAAACAGCAACAGAAAAAGGTAAGAAGAGGCCAGCTGCTATGGCTCATGCCTGAAAACCTAGCACTTTGGGAGGCCGAGGCAGGTGGATCATCCAAGGTCAGGAATTCGAGATCAGCCCGGCCAATACGGTGAAACCCTGTCTCTACTAAAACTACAAAATATTAGCCAGCATAGCAGTGCATACCTGTAGTCTCACCTTCTCAGGAGGCTGAGGCAGCAGAATCGCTTGAACCTGGGAAGCAGAGGTTGCAGTGACCCAAGATTGCTCCACTGCACTGGGTGACAGAGCCAGACTCCATCTGAAAAAAA